TTTCGTTTTCAATCGATTGCTGATGAAATCAAAATGAAGAAATATTTACGTCTCAGGACGTAACACTTACATGAGACTTATAAATTCTTTCTTATAGGTGACTTGAATTTCTGTGCTGAATGTATTTAACTTGGAAATTTTACTAAAGTAATTGTCCAAATTGTTCATCGATGATCAATTATTGTCGTCTGCCATCTAGACCGATTGCGCTGCCTTTGCTATGAATTTAGAGAATCCGGATTGATGATGGTGTAAGAAATCTCGAAGCACTGCCACCTATCCCGTCAGGCGAGACAATCGTTGTCCGAGTCTACCAAGCTGGAGGTCTTGTTGATTCAAGAACCACGGCAATTGCCAAATCAAAATTTGTCGATCATTCTAGTATTAGCTGCGATCTAATTAAATACGAGGTGTGTTCAAAAAATACCCGGAATTTTTAAATTTCGCGGGTCTGGAGAGTCCGATTGTCAAAATTTTTTTTTATTGTGTTGGTATATATGCCCCTGAAGTATGATAAAATTTTCAGCTATATTCACTGTTTACTTTGTCTGCAGTAGTCGCTAAGGTTTGACGTGTTTTTATGAGCTCGGCGATTTTCGTTTTTTAAAAGAAATGGATCAAAGAATTTGTATTAAATTTTGCGTAAAAAATGAAATAAAGTGTAACAAAGTGTGTGAAATGTTACAAAAAGCTTATGGTGAGTCTGCTATGAAAAAAACAAGTGTTTACGAGTGGTATAAGCGTTTCCAAGATGGCCGCGAACACGTTGAAGATGACGAACGCTCCGGTCGACCCAGCGCGTCAACAATCGATGAAAATGTGAAAAAAGTGGAAAAAATGGTTCTGAATGATCACAATTAGAGAAGTTGCTGATGAAGTTGGCAATCAATTGGCTCATGTCATAACATTTTTTCAAATGGTTTGGGCATGAAACGAGTGGCTGCAAAATTCATTCCAAAACTACTGAACTTTAACCAAAAAAACAATCGCATGAACATCGCTCAGGAGCTGTTAAACGACGTCAACGACGATCCAAGTTTGCTTGAAAGGGTCATAACTGGTGATGAAACATGGGTGTACGGTTATGATGTCGAAACCAAAGCACAATCGTCGACCTGGAAGCATTTAACGTCTCCAAGAGCGAAAAAAGCACGTCAAGCTCGATCAAATGTGAAGGTTGTGATGATGCGTCATCACACGAAAATATTCACTCCCGGCACTATGCGGCAGAATAGCCACGACCGCATACACTCGCCCACTTACGTCCGGATCTCGCGAACTATGACCCCCAGAAGTCTCCCTGACCAATTCGCACGACCCTTACGCTCGCGTATAACCCCTCGCGCACTCACGACCCGATCCGACACTCCCCCGGGGAGCTGGAAGCCCTTAAAGTTTCCAGCCGCGATCAGCTGATCGCAAGCCCCCGTTAACTAAGGCAGACCTAGTTAGACTAAGGTAGGGGCGACCGAGCGCGTGATAGCGAGCGAGACCGCCGATACTAGACCGATCAGACGCGAGTGAGGGGAATCGGTTAGACCAGCGAGCAATGGATAGAAAAAGATAGACAAGCGACGCTAGTTGACCGGCCAATCGTTATCGGCTTAGGGGTGGTTAGGCTAATGAGACGAAACCGACGCTATCTCCGCGACCAGTAGGCAAATTGGGCGCGAAGAACCGACCAATGAATAAATTACGCGGGCTAGGAAGATCGGTATAGACGGCGCTGAGACCCGGCTTAGCAACAAGCCGACCAATCAACAAACAGTTAAGGAGAGGTAAGCTAGGAGAAGCGGCGCGTCGCCGAAAAACGGCGCGCCAGTACCCGTTGAGCCTTGCTGACGAGCGGTACCCGAGAAAGAAGCAGAGAGAAGCAGGATAGAAGCAGAGAGGAGCAGAATAGAAGCAGATAGAAGCAGAGAGAAGCAGGATATAGAAGCAGATAAAAGCAGAAAGAAGCAGGATATAGAAGCATATAGAAGCAGATGGAAGCAGAAAGAAGCAGAAAATAGAAGCAGAAATGCAGTGAAAGTAGTGAAAGTAGTGAGAAGTAGTGAGAGGTAGTGAAAAATAGTGAAAAGTAGTAGCAAGAGCAGTGATAGAAACAGTGATAGCAGCAGCGATAAAGATAGTGATAAGGAGATAGTGATAGAGGAGCGGAGTAACAGGGCAGCGGCGACAGCACCCGCAACAGTAGCAACAACGGCAACGCCAACGACAATTTTAGCGACCGCTACAGCGGCCTTGGCGGCAGTGGCCGCAACCGCAATCGTCCTCAAGTCCTATCGGAGTAAGTACGCTTTCCTCCCTTAATTCTTATACGACCGACAAACGCGAGATTGCCGCGTAATTGTTGACCGCCGCGTTTCGGGAGTGCCGCACGACCTTCGCGCGTTCGATGATGCGACATTCGTGCCTACTTATTGCCGACCTTTGAAAATCTCTTTGTCGAGCCGTGGTATTGCCTATTGTCCGGAAGACAAGTTGCCGTGTGATTGCCAAACGTACGCGGCACGGGAGTGTCGTACGACCTTCGCGCGCCTTACGCTTCACGAAAGACGAAATCGCCGCGTGATTGCCGAATGTCCGCGCGCGGGTATGTCGTATGACCTTCGCGCGCCCGTCGTCGTTGCTATGCGTGTTTTCGCCATCGACCTTCCGAGCATCGTCTTGTGCGTCGTTATACCGTTGCCATCCGAGAAACGAGTCTCCTAAGTGTGCACGTCTACGAATTCCTTTTCCGAGCCGATCGAAAACATTACGCGAGTCGTGCTAGACATTCGCTTGACCGGCAAAGTCTCGGACACATTGTCGTCTTTGTTTCGTTCGCGATCATCGCTACAAAGTACCAACAACACCGCGAGCAGTGACTAACCTTCGCGCGACCGACCGAATTCTTACGCGTATTTACCTCGAATGAGCTGGAACTTTCGCCGCGAGTAAACAACTTAAAATTGCGTAATCGTATCCGAAACCCGAAATTATTCACCCGAGCTATTGTCTGCCTAGATCGACTTCGCGTCGTAGTACGCCACTCGCGTCCCCCAGTAACCTAGACCAGGCTGACCATCGCGAGGGATAGATCACTGGGGTTGACCTGGGAAGTTTTGGCCTAATAAATCTGAGTTACCTTTAAATTTGATTTGTTATTGACTACACCCACTTGATCGCCTCATCCCCCGTAGCTTTCGCGACCGGTTTGAGATCGGTAGGCGCGTGCGCGAACGACCTGATTGTCATCTAGCCGATAGCCGCCGTCGCGGGAACCACGCTACCAGTCCAGGGAAGGAGCTATCCCCTAGTCTACTAGTTCGTCAGTCGGGGCGCCCCTGTGACGCCCCCTCGATGTACCCGCTTCTGAATTAAGAGCCGCCATGCCCCGAATTACACCTAGCTAGCCGAACGAGCCGCAGCCGTGGGTGGCCTTGTAAACCACCCGTTGCCCCCTTTCCCCTTTCGCTCGATGTGTCTCCCCGCTTCAGACTCGAACGAATTCTTAGCCTAGGACTTCGCGCTCCCACTTCATCCTTCACAGGTGATAGCCAGCCGCGCGCACAAGACCGACGGCGACGAGGAAGGAGGCAGCGGGGAAACCACCCGACCATCACAGCGATCAGCAAGACCACGCCGAACCAGCTAACGCTGCAGCGCTACCTGCTCTCCTAACGCGAGAGCACGGTAGCTGGCGCCCAACAAATTAAATAAAGCTGCACGCGTTATTCGGCTCCCTGTGCCGCTGGCGACAGTGCGAGACCGGAAAAATTGGTGTCATTTATTTTTCCCCTCCCTCTCCCTCGTCGCAAGGTTTTGCTTACAGTTTTCTTTGATTGCAGGGGCGTGGTGCATCACGAGTTCTTATCACAAGGTCGTACGGTTAATAAGGAGTATTACCTTGAAGTTATGCGACGTTTGCGTGAAGCAATCCGAAGAAAACGCCCCGATTTATGGAAAAACAATTCATGGCTTTTGCATCACGATAACGTACCTGCTCACTCGTCGTTGCTTGTTCGTAATTTTTTGTCCAAAAACAATACCGTAGTCGTGCCCCAACCTCCAAATTCACCAGATATGGCTCCGTGTGACTTTTTCCTGTTCCCAAAGTTGAAGAGACCCATGAAAGGACGGCGTTTTTCCTCGATTGAAGCAATAAAGGCCGAATCGCTGAGAGTGCTCAAGGACATACCAAAAAGTGAATATCAAGAGTGCTTCGAAGATTGGAAAAAACGCTGGCATAAGTGTATTATATCTGGGGGAGATTACTTTGAAGGGGACCACATTGATGTAAACGAATATATAAATATTTTTTTGGAAAAACGATAATTCCGGGTACTTTTTGAACACATCTCATAGTTGTAATAGAGTCGGTCGGCGTTGATCAACAATGCTCTTTCAATAAATTCAGTAATTATTTTAAAAGGGGAAAGATAAGGGAGGCAGTGTGTCGCTCCCAGCAGGGGCAAATAGGAAATGTGGATACAGTAGACGAGTATAGTTTATTAAACTCACTTTGTATTACATGCGCACTTTCCTAAATGCCGAAGGAACATACAAGCACACTTAACTTATTGACAATTGAGAATTATTCTAAGACAAGAAAACCGGCATTAAATATTTATGAAAAATTTAATATTTATAATTTAGTAACTTAATTAGTTCCCTATTTTTTGTATTTTTAACAATTGCAAGCAAAATTATAAGACAATTATAGTACGTAATTGTCAAGTTATTCGAAAAAACTACAAAAAAATTGTTATAATCTTATGTATTAATTATCATGGACTATGAATATTCTATGAATTAAAATGGTTGCCTTAAAAAATAAAGTCTAAAAAATTTTCTAGATTGCTTGGATATCACCTATTTTATTCACTATCATAAGACAAATAAACATAGTACTTACAATTTTGTAAAATGTTATATTATTATATATAGATATTGATGAATGTCAAATATATGGAAGCTGCTCCCACTATTGCAAAAATACCAATGGTACTTTCAAATGTAGTTGTGCCACAGGATATTTGAAGGATCCTCAAGATACTACACGTTGCAAAGCTGCTGAAGGCCATGCGAGTCTCATATTTACTAGGCGCCATGATATAAGGAAGTATGCACTGGATCGAAAAGAAATAACAGAACTTGTCAATGGCACTAGATTAGCGATGGCTTTTGATTTTGTTTTCAGAACGGGTATGTTATTTTGGAACGATGCAGGTGACCAAAAGATTTACAAGTATGTTTCTTGTTCTAGGGTGAAAAATTATAGTGGATTCTAATACTTCCTATGTATTTACTAAAATTTTATCATTTTGTTTTTGAATTTTATGATTGTAGCTTAACATCACATTATTCCAATATGTATATGAATCATACTATGAAAATTAGGTACAAAAGTTTCCATCCAAGTGCGTTAAAATTCTAACTTTTTCTTTCAAAATATACCTTTTTTCTTGCAAAATATAATATTGTTAGTTAAAAATAACTATTATGTCATTTTATAAGCAGCATATAAGGATGCATACATACGCGCTGTAATAATCAAATAAAATTAAAAAAGAGAGAGATAAAATCGAACTCGACCAAGAACACCTAACGATAGCCAAATTTTCGCGAATAATCACTAACCCGAAAATTGAAGACCTTGACGGATGTATGAAAAGAGAACTATAATAACTTTTGTCTCTCTTGCATGATTTGAGCCCATAATTCATGATATCGCCCATATTTTCGAATCTACGAAAGTCTATTATTGTATCTAATAAACTTGCTCATCCGAAACGTATAACTGATATCAAAATCTTCTTGAAATAACCGAAGCTCACAAATGAAATCAATAGACTAGACGTAGAACCAGACCAAGATCACTCTTTGACAAAGTTTCGAATGGCTTATGTAAGTAGGCTCAACTTCACTCTCTCAAGCGCGGAGTCTCGGTTAAAACTCTTAATTACAATAAGAGTCAAAAGCCTTACCTACATATAATGCAATAACTTATGAATTAATATCTCATTTATATAACTACAGTAGGTAAACTAGAGAGGCCTTAGCTCAGGGGGGTATCAGCTCAGTGAGCTGATGTCCTCCCTGAGCTGATGCCCGTGCATTTTGAATTTGGCACTGTCAACTCACCTCCCCGTCGGTTACTGAACTAATGCCTGTGCGTTCTGTGTTCTAAGCATTTATTTCATTGTATGTGAATTAAATTTTTAGATGTATTAAAGTAAATTTTATTGAAAAAATATGAACGGACACGTCGGAGGATCGAACTCGCGTTCTATGGATCCGCAGGCCGGTGCTTTACCGCTAGAACCAGTGCCACTAGTACCACGGACAATTCTTATTGTGTATATTGGCTACACGATTGGTATGGGACTCCAATCGTTAATATATATATATATAAATAATAATGCTATTTATATATATTTCTTATAATTAGTATTAATTAAATTTTTTTATATTATACACAAATTATAATAAATATTATATATATTTCTTATAATTAGTATATATTAAATTTTTTTATATTATACACAAATTATAATAAATATTATGTAAATTTATTAAAATTAGGTTATTTGGTTATTGTTTAATTAGTATATGATGAATTTTTTTTTGCAGTTCAACGCGCGTGTGTGTGTGTGTGTGAGTGTGTGTGTTACCTATAAAAAATGGTTTAATAAAGAGAAAATTCAAGTAAATATGAAGACTAAGAAAAAATATATAACACGAAATCTTGCTTACTATCTTTTATTTGAAGCCTTCGTGGTTTTAAGCTACTATAAACAGCACAAGAATCATCGAATCATTTATCAACCAGTATTCCAGTAAAATGGATCGCTATCCTAAAGTAAAGTACTCTCATCTTTCACAAGAAGACCCAGACAAAAAGAAGAACAAACAAACATCGACATGGAAACAAACTCTTTCTAAATTTCCGAGCAATACAATATAATTTTCTTAGATAAAAAGGCTACCGACAGTTCAATAACGAAAAGAAGAACTAATAATCATATGTACACATGTCATCATTGTACACCATCTCAACTACAATAAATAAATATTTTTTTTCATCTAAATTCTATGTTGTATAAATTTTTTTATTGATAAATATACAAAATTTGTTATAAAAAGTTGAACTGCTGCTGCTGCTGTCGTCGACAGAGTCAGAGAAAAATTTCGCTTTTTTGGATGATTTAATAAAAAATAAAAGAATATTTTTTTGTATCAATCAAAACATTTTTTTACTGATTAAAATATATCTTATTTTACATGTTTTAAAAAATACATGTTATTTTACATATTATCTTTTTAGGAACTTTTGGGAAAGCTTTTGCTTTCCGATGACGATTGATGAGTGGAGTTCACCGTGTTGACGTTTTCAATTCCTGTCGACGACTGATGGTGGATTTGCATTTTTCAGTGCTCATATAGCACTTACCACTCTTTGAATCGTAAATCATTCCTATCAAACGCTTTTGAGATGTAATCTAATGGTTATAACTTCACCAATAAAATTAATTAAATTTTCGTCTTGATCGACGATGCATAATTGTGCATAATCTACAGCCGTTTTTGTAACTGGAAAATAAATCATGTCAGAGGAATTTCAATAATTTTATATCCAAGCGGTACCGCTGGAAAAAATTCGTGAATATTGTGAACAGTATTTCCGTTCAAGTAAGCGCCAGCGGTTGTTACATGGAGTCTCACAACGTTCTCCTTAAAAATACTGATGGGAAGATCGGAGTTGTGAGAATTGTTTGCCTCTAATATACGTTGTGAAAAAACCCAACAATCGTACAATAGAATTCTGTAGATGAAAATATACAGGTTCAGAACACTTAATTGTACAATGCAAGGTGTTGTTGTTTCGTTTCAAATTTAATGTTATATTATTATCAATTCAGAGACGCTACAAAGCTCTTCGAAGAAATTTATCAATGTCGCTGATCTCGTAGGTCCCGACAGGTATGTTGATAACTTTATTTGTGACGTAAAATTTATTGTTATGTATGTCAATGTTAGGTGTCGTGTTGAACATTAGGAACTCGACAAAGCTATGGCGCCAGCTAGAGTACCAGTTGCACTCAAGCCTGCAAAAAGTGATATGGAAGGGCAAATTCACCTATCTTCGATGATATTGGCAGAATTCGTGAAACCTTGATGTTTGCTTTTCCACCAGCTTTTTAACGGTTGTACGAGCTTTCTTTAAAGCAGAACCAATAACTTTGCTAGCATATTTATCCTTGGACCACTTGAATGTTTCCGCTTTGATCACACTACTCAAATTAACTGACTTTTTAGTTTTTTTCGTCCTTTCAGCTTGGTCTTTTTCCTCTTCTTGAAACACATACCAAACTTTGATTTTAATTTCATGGCGTTAGATACAGCGTAAGAAGCTGCTTTTTCACCAAAACTAGAATCCTTAGCGAAGACCAGTGATGAGAATCGGATAATCCAATCAAAAATGTTATTTTTGAAAGTCGTGATGAATCTAGGTCTGTTTCATAAGCATGATCGATACTTCGTCACTGCTGTTCCGATTTCATGTCCCACAAATGATTTTAATTTATAAATAAGATTAGCTCACTACTTCAAAATATAATAGTTTTCAAACCTCGAAGATGGAGCAACAATAAATTCAGATAAGTTTGTGAAATAAAATATTATATATATATATATGATTTATCAATTCTAATAGTGAAATTCAAATACTTATAACGGGGTTGTTACTTGCCTGCGTTATTTCGCGAGAGAACGAAGAATATTATGTGTAGCTCGATGCGGGCATACAATAACCGCACGAGGCTATGCCCGGATGCCTAGTTATGCCTTAAGGCCCGCGGGAGCGTCCTGGATCAAGCAGCTAATCTTCGTATTAATTTATCGACGGGGGAACGTGGAAGACAGTAGAGTTAGGTGTAAATAAGAGGAAGGTACATATAAGATAAAACGGCGTTTATATAACATAAGGGTTTACAAGGACTGCAGTGCAGCGATAAAGAGAGAGAGAATAACAAGCTAGCTAGAGAGAGAGACAGAGGATACGAGAAGGTACTTACATAGGACGACTGGACCACGGATGAGCCCTACTTGACGCTCAAATACAGCGAACCTAGCGATAACCTAGCACTTGCTTAATCCCACGCACTCTTTCACACAGTACTCTCGATGCACAAATTACAATCGGTTGTCTCTCCTTTGAGCTGCCACAAGGCCAAGTTGAGAGTCGAAAAGGGTTGTCAATCTACAATGCGAAAGCCGGCCGGCGAGAACACGTGCGCTTTCGGACACGATCAACAAGCTAGTGCCGCGGAAGAGCTCCCCACTCTCTCCTTCTCTGCCGAACATATATCGGTTCTTATCGCGCAACAGTCTCTCCTCTCGCACATGAGCATACCTTCAGTTTAAGCCTACGCGAGTCTATCCTCCCTCTTGCTAGTTCGCGTTGCATTGTATGTATTCTCTCTCTCTCTTACCTTGTATTCTATTGCACGCTGCTGCTGCTACTTCTAGACATTGTACATAAGTTAATATTATTCCAAGTAAAGAATATAGATATATATAACTATATAGGTACATAAATAAATATGGTCGTCTGAGAAAGAGAGACATAACGAGTGATTTATCACACGTTATATACTTCGTGGAAATATAAATTTTATTATTTCAGATAACACACAATATAAACTTTTTAATAATAATTCAAGGTGAATGTGAAGGTGACTAATGCAATTTTCTATGCTATATTATGGAGAAAATTGAAGTAAAAGTATGTACATCATGTTTCTAGTTGCATATGAATTTGATATTAATAAGGTTAATTTATATAATTGCTTTATATATATATCGATACAGCCTACTTATTTTCTGAATAAACATCAAGCTACGGTCGAAACTCTTGCCTAGTATCTCTGGAAAAATCATGTGTTGGCAAGTAGAGATGGCTCAACAGGTAGAGAGAATGTCAATAGTAGATATTATTTTATTCAAACTTTTGTTTATTTGAAACAGAAATCCAAGACAAAGCAATAAATGAATAGTAGATTATAAATAGAGTCAAATAATAAAGTGGAGCCATTAAAAAAGATAGAAAGAAATTGAAAGAAAAATAAAATAAAAGAAAGATGATTAATATTTGCTTTGTTTCAAATGTCCTATATTTTAAAATTAGTTTTCTTCTAGATATAGCCAGTAGTAAAGACGAAGCAAACAAAGGAGATAAAAAGAAGC